TCCCGAGACTTTGTTCTGCAAAACAAGTTAAGTATTTTTACGGTACCCTTACGTATTTTGGGTCCTTAGGAGTCAAATTTTACATTTAACATGTTTTGGAACCCATTTCTTCCTACCTTGCGGCACAAAATATTTTCTAGCATGACAGAATTTTATAGTATGTCCTTTCTTCATGCAGTAATGACAAGATGAGAAAGAGGATCTTGTTGTTTTTACGTATGAAAAGAAGTTCAAATATTTTTTAGTTTTTACCCCATTCTTAGGTTTGTACCCGATTCAGAATGTTCAAACATACAGTTTTGAGACCCAAGAAGTGCATCTAAATTCTCTTTACCTTGAGTAAATTTTGTCAAGGTTTTAGTCAAGTAATCAACCTTATTTTGTAAAACAATACATTTTTCACAATTCTTATTAACAGCAACATTATCATGAGATGAATAGATAATATCTAGATGTTCTAAATCTGTTTTGCTTTCTAATAGTTCTTTTTCCAGAACTTTAACTCTATTTTCTAACCGAGTTATTTAAACCTTTCAACCGATTATTTGTATGAGATAAATTTACGGCTTCACTATGCATTTCATTGAAAGCATTTAGTAATGTGCTTGTAATTCATTTCATTCTCTGTAGGAGTTGAACTTACATGTGATGAAGAGGATTCACGATCGGCCATCAAACACGAGGTTCACCTCTTCACTTTCGGATTCGAGCTGGAAGATGAATCATTGTCTTGCCAGGCTATATAGGCCTTTTTCCCTTTGTATCTTGATTCTTTCTTGTTCGATTCTTGGTCTTTTCAGGACAATCACTCTTTATGTGACCACTGTTTACCACAAGAATAACAAGTAATAGTATTTTGAACAAATTCGGTCTTTTTATCATTGTACCTTTTTACTTGGCCGGTTCATGTTCTTTCTTCTAAGAAATTTCCCAAATTTCTTAACCAACAAAGTCATGTTCTCTGATTCATCTTCTTCGGATCCATTGTTTTCTTCAATCGTCTTGAGAACAATATTTCTACTTTTCTTTTACGCATTCTCTTGTTCTTTGAGCCGATTGATTTCCAACTCATGTTCCCTTAACTTACCAAAAAGTGAAGCGGTAGTCATTTCGATCAAGTCTCTTGATTCGATATAGCTTGTCACCTTTGGTTGCCACGTTCTGTCCAAACACTTTAAGATTTTGATGTTCAACTCTTCTTTGTCAAAAATCTTTCCTAACCCGATTAGATGATTGACTATGTGCGTGAACCTTTTACGCACATCCGCAATTGTTTCTCCTTGCTGCATTTTAAACAACTCATAGTCCACTGATTAACTCATGCTTTCTTGCCCTTTTCACATCGAGATGTTCCTTCATGTGTGACCTCTAAAATTTCCCACATCTCTTTGGCGAGGCACACTCTGAGACACCACGAAAAACTCATCAAGATTTAAGGCGAGAGGTAATAATATTTTTTGCAGTATAACCATATTGGACTCTCCTATTTTGTACATCGGTTAATTCAGCCCAATCTTTTTCAACTACTTTACCATCTACTGTATGAGTTGGTTTGTAAGGACCATTAACAATTGTTTCCCAAATGCCTCTATCAAGAGATTCAATAAAGATTTTCATTCTAACCTTCCGGAAAGAATAATTCACACCGAGAAAAAAGTGGAGGCCTGTTTATGGAGGCTCCTTCGAAAAAGTCATCTTTCCCTCGGCCATTGGACCGATTTCTTGAGTAACTTACAAGAACCAGCTACGGTACCAATTGAAAGAATTAATGGTTGAGTTCAAGAGGGGGTGAATTGAACTTTAAAACTTTTTCGCAAAACTTACTTTCTTTTGGAAGAATGAGTTATCTTTATTCAATCTTTGTGAAGGTAATTTGGTTTAAACACGGCAAGTTTATAGACGAGAAAATAAAAGAGATGAAAGAAGAATTTTAACACACAAATTTATACTTGGTTCACTCTAATCCAGAGCTACATCCAGTTCTTGACAAACCGGTCAAGTTCCACTAATACCAAGTGAAAATTACAACCAGTAGATACTCACCAATCTACCCCAAGAACTATCTTGCAAACCCACAAGATAGAATCTTGAAAACCACCCGATAACCAAATCCGATTCTTGTACCAAGTGCGAGATCACAATCCAACCTGCACAATCACACTTTTACAAAAGAGTATGGAAAGAAAAAACCTGGACTTGAAGTTCTAATTGTCGAGAACAAATTCTAACAACACTTTCTCTCTTTGATTGACCACAATTCGATCACGACACCTTATGATATGAAAAGATTCTTGAATGCGGAGAAAGTCACGTATATGAAAGTTTCACGATTGATTTCACAAGTTTTCTCAAGTAGTGTGTTGTATATTTTTGAAAAGATAGATCAATTCTGTATATATAGAGTAAAACAAAGAATCGAACGTTTCATCTGTCAAAAGCTGTTTCGAGAGAGTCACAAGATCGATTAGTTTGAAAGTATAACGAGTTTAGAAGAGACTACGATCGATTAGAACCGAAGTATGATCGATCAGACAGAGTTATGATCGATCAGAATGAAACTATGATCGATCAGAATACATTTCAATCGATTGAAACCACGATTCAATCGATTGATTTCATTTAAAAGTTCATTCAATCGATTGTTTCGAGTTTTCAATGGATTGAAACGACTTTAGAAAAATGACGACTCTGTTTCAATCGATTGAAAATTATTTCAACAGATTGAAATCCTGCAAACACTTAGTTAATAAAATAGCCTCTCTGTTTTAACAGATTAAAAATTATTTCAACAGATTGATTTTCGAAAAACTTTTAGACTGAAAAAATAGTCTTTTCGTTTCAACAGATTAAAAAATATTTCAACAGATTGATTTTCTAAAAACTCTTGGATCTGAAAAAATCTTTATGTTTCAACAGATTTAAAAATCATTTCAACAGATTGAAAATGCGAAACTTTGATATTGAAAAATTCATTGAGTTATTTTAACTTGTTGATTCCGCGAATCAATCAATTGAAAATACGACTATGTATGACCACTTATTATGTTGAGTGATTTTAACAGAAAAAATCCTTTTCAACAGATTGAAAAACTTAGTTTGTTCTTTTAATACTTAGATGTTAGTTTTTCATGCAGAAAAATGATTTTCAATGGGATGCAACATTATAAGGTGCTTATCACAAAATATAATGGACTATCAAGAGATTAAGTGCTTAAACTAAAACCCAATCATCTACACACCCACAACCTAAGCTATATCTATGTCTTCATCAAATCCACCAGGTGCTTCACAAAAAATTCTACAAAAAGAAATCAGAAATTCCCATCCCCCAGTGGAATGAAGTATAGGTCGCATCAACATCAATCAAGGAGCCAAGACTCCATTCCTAGAAAAGAAAAATCAGATCCCCGGGAAGTCAACTAATTCCCTGGTGGATCACTAAAGAAATAAAACGTCATCCCTAGTGGACCAACCAAAAGAAGGAAAAAGCCAGCATAATAAAAAGAGACTAAAAAGTAAAAAGGCTTACGCTTTATCCCGAAAAAGCCAAATTTCAAAATCGCGAAAAAAAGAGATAAATCGCGGAAAAAGGCGAAATCAAATCCTTTCTCCCTAAGCGGGTCACCTCAGGATCAAAAAAGGAATTGGAAATTTCATTCCTTCAACAAAATAAGAGCACCACAAAAGCCAGCTCGCACCCACATCAATTAAGGAACTCCATTCCCTTAGGGGGCAAATCAAAATTAGATCCCTGGAAAGGCAATCAGTTCCCCGGTGGATCACCAAAAAGAGAAAAATCATCTCCAGTGAGCCTACGACAAAGGCAAATTCCAAACTCACATCCTTAGAAGAGTCATTTGCCTAGGCGTAGGCAAGATATGGCGAGCAAGAGCCAATTTCCCCGGAAAGGGACATCAACCTATTCGGAGGCAAGCAAGTATAAAGTCTTCACCACTAATGAAGCATCCGCCTACTCGGAGGCACAGGAAACAAAAAAACAAAAAAACTCCATTTCCCCAGAGAAATAAGAGCTTGAAGAAACCAGCTCTCATCAACACCAAACAAGGAGTCACAACTCCATTCCCCAAAAGGCGACCAAAATTAGATCCCCAAGGAGTCAACCAACTCCCTAGTAGATCACCAAAAAAACTTACCCAGAGAGCCTACTGCAAAGGCAAAACTTCAAACGCATATCCTCGAAAGCTACTTGCCTAACATGGATATCCCTAGTGGAACGCATAGGCAAAACCTTGCACACAAAAAGCAACATTAGCCTATTCGAGAGGCAAAGAAAAAGCAAAACCAAAAGTCTTCACCTCCAAACGAAGCATCCGCCTACTCGGAGGCATTACCAAAAACTCAATGGATATCCGCCTACTCAAGAGGCGTCACCAAAATCAACAAATCCCCAGAGGATTCCTGCCTACCTAAGAGGCACTTATCAAAAAATCCCCGACAACTAGCAAAGTCGGATGACCACCACAAAAGATCAAAAACAAAGAATCCCCAGCAATCAACAAGCTGGACGAACACCAACAGAATCCCCGGCACAGACCGGACGACAATTCCCAGAAAGGACAAAAAACAAAGACAGAACACATCTCAACAACGGCGCATGATCAGAATCAGTAAGCCGCCACCATTGCCAAAGGATCAGCTACCGCAAGAAGGGGCATCCGAGAGGCACATAACCGGACGGGGTTCATACTCGTCGGCCAAGGGATCGGCTACCGCGTCGAAGGAGCATCCCAAGGTTTCACACCGGCGCATGATCAGAATTAGTAAGCCGCCACCATTGCCAAAGGATCAGCTACCGCAAGAAGGGGCATCCAGAGGCACATAACCAGACGGGGGTTCATACTCGTCAGCCAAGGGATCAGCTACCGCGTCGAAGGAGCATCCCAAGGTTTCACGCCGGCGCATGATCAGAATCAGTAAGCCGCCACCATTGCCAAAGGATCAGCTACCGAAAGAAGGGGCATCCAGAGGCACATAACCAGATGGGGGTTCATACTCTTCAGCCAAGGGATCGGCTACCGCATCGAAGGAGCATCCCAAGGTTTCACGTAGGCGCATGGGCCACCCGAACAGTAAGCCGCCACTACCACCCTGATGGGGGGATCATACCCATCCGGTCCCACACAATGGACCGTACCGGACTGATGGGGGTTCATACCCATCCGAGTCCCACGCAACGGATCGTAACTACCGGCCGATGGGGGTTTATACCCATCAACCGAAGGATCGGCTACGTCGGGAGTAGTATCGCGGAGGTTCTACCACGTGTCAACCAAAGGGATCGGCTACGTCGGGAGTAGTATTCCGAGAGGTGCACAAACACAACATCTCCCCGAGAGGATCACCTGCCACAAGACGGGACGTCCGAAGGGTAGCCGGGCAAGAGGGTCAACTCCTTTACCTTCCTGTCTACACTGTCGGCACAACAAGCCAACGATCGAGTAGTCGGGTAAAGGGGGCAGCTGTAGACCCCAAATCTTGCCGGCCTCCAAATAAAGTCGAAAGCGTCCTATTTGAAGACGGTACGAAGCTTAACAAGTCATTAGGAGAGACTATTAGGCTCCCGTACCGGGATAGGAAGGTTTTTTGGCCCGAAAATAAAGTTTCTCGCCACGAAGGGACGAGACCGCCGTCTGGAAAGACCGGACCGCCGTCTCGTCTCAACGCCGAGACGAGACCGCCGTCTCGATTGTCCGGACGGCGGTCTCGTCACTCGCAAAGGTCGAGACGGCGGTCTGGATTTTCCGGACGGCGGTCTCGATTCTCGCCTAGTCGAGACAACGGTGCGGATTATCCGGACGGCGGTCTCGACCCTCCGCCATGAACGAGACGGCGGTCTGGATTTTCCAGACGGCGGTCTCGACCCTGTCAGAGGAAACGGCAGTCTCGACCTGTCAGGCGCAAAAAACTATAAATAGGGGTCGTCCCCCCCTCATTTCCACACAGAATCAACATAGCTCTCCCTTCTCTCTAGATTTTCTCTCTCTAAGAATCCCTCCGAGGCATTTTCCGGAGTTTCTGAGAGTTGTAGAGTGAAGGGTTGCCAAAATGCACCCTCTCTTTAAAGAAATATAAAAGCTTGCTTTGGAGGTGCATATTCTCCCTCTCTATTTTTATTACTGCCATTTAAATTACGCAATAGAAGCTAGGGCCATGTAGTCATAAACTTAAATTCCGCATAATAAAAGGGTAAAAGCGCATTTTTCCAGTTTAATTATTTATTCAAAGTAGTCGGCCTATCATAGGGAACCCGAAAGGGGCGTCGTAAAGGAACTAACACTTCCTTTACACGTAACTAACTCCCTTACCCAACTCTGGTTCTAATGACCAAAGTTGGTTTTCGAAAACCAACGCCTTTTTAAAACCCCTTTTCCGATGTTTATGGTAAAAATATCGGTGGCGACTCCATAGCACCCAAATTAAATAAGTCCCTGGGTTAGCCCGGTTAACGGACAACCCAGGGATACTTTTGAAAACCTCGCCCCTAGGTTAGCCCGGTTATCGGACAACCTAAAGGCGTTGTAACCACCAATAAAAAACGCGAAAATCAAGAGGGTCGAAAAAACCATCGCGTCACTCCGACCGCCTTCCTTTTTTGACGGTGGCGACACCCTATTTCCAAGAACCCTAGTTTCGAAAATCCCAATTTCCAAACCCTAATTTCTCTACTTAAGCTTCTCTATGGCACTCAGAAAAGCAGAACAACCTTTTTCATACAAAAGTTAAGTGTTGTGAGTGCCAGAGAACTGTTTGTTGCAAGAAAAAGGGGCTTTTAGAACCTGGTGTGGGCTAGAAGCGATAAGAATCACTAAGTGGAGTTCTTAGTGGATTGTGTGTTGTGCCGTCTCTAGGGAAAGTTGTTCTTCATCTCTTGTGGATTTCAAGAGAGGTGTTTTCTTTACTTTATCTTTTCCATTGTAATTTGTCTGTAACAACTGTGATTATAGTGACAGCGTTAATCCTCTGTTTGAGTGATTAGCAACTGGACGTAGGGTCTTTTGATCCGAACCAGTATAAATCTCTTGTGTAAGATTCTATCTCTACTCTATTTACATTTATACAGTTTTTAATCGGTAAAATTTGGGGAAAATTTTGAAAACCTAATTTTTGTTAAGAAACCAATTCACCCCCCTCTTGGTTTTTGTCCAACCACGCGAACATTCCGCTGTGCGAATCTAACACGATGCGATGGTTCCGACTTTCCATTTTTTCGCGTTTTTATGGGTGGTGTTACAACGCTTTTAGGTTGTCCGATAACCGGACTGAACCCAAAGGCGAGGTTTTCGAAAGGGTGTTCTTAGATCGTCCGATAATCGGGCTGACCTAAGAACTAATTTGAAAGGGTTCTTGTAGATCCCTAATTTTGTTCGGCCTCTCAATAAAGGCTAAGAAGACTTCCTATATGAAGATAAAGCTTTGGTGGACGTCTATCGGCATCAATCGACTTCCGAATAAAGAAAGGAAAGCTTCCCGGGAGTCCCAGAACACAAAATCTGGCCAAAATAGTCGAGATGGCCGTCCCAGAAGTCAGGATGGTCGTCCCAACCAGCCCAGACGGTCATCCCACATGCCAGACGGCCCTCCCAGCCAGTTTTGCCACTTGGGACGGTCGTCCCAACTCCCAGACAGCCGTCCCGGCCTCCCCAGACGCCCATCCCTGTTTTCCAAGCCCCAGACGGGCGTCCCGAGCTGCCAGGCTACGAAAACTATAAATAGGAAGCTCATTTGCCACTTTTTCACACTCCAGACACTTTCCTTCTCTCCCTACTTCGAATGAACTCTCCGATTGCCTAAAAAAGGTAACAATCGGTTAAGGAATATTATTCCAGCATTCGATTCTTCTTAAAATTTTAGTAGAGTCGATCTTGTATTCGGGGAGGAGAGTCTTTGTAGAGCGGGGGATTGCCAAAACGCATCATCACAGTTAAAGATTTGCAATACAAAGCTTGCTACGGAGGTTCTTTTCAATTATCTTCTCCTTTATTGCTTTATTTATTGCTTTATGTATGCAATAGAAAATAATATCATGTAGATAGCCATATTTAAATATCATATAAATAAAATAGGGTAATAGTGTAATTTCTCGTAATCTTTACTTAATGAATTAATCCATCATAGGGAACCCGAAAGGGGCATTGTGGGGTGCTAACACCTTCCCCACACGTAACTAACTCCCTTACCTAACTCTGGTTATAATGGCCAAGTTTGGTTTTTATTAAAATCAACGCCTTTTTTATCCTTTTCCAATGTTTATGGTCAAAACATTGGTGACAACTCCATAAGAACCCTTTTGCGAAAACCTTACTTTTATTAAAGGATAGTTCAGTTGTTGAGCACCTAGGAAGCAATGAACACAATTTAAAATAAAATGCGAGTCTAAACTATCTTTTCGCGACCGCTCGCATAAACGTTTGAGATGTCCTTAGACGTCGGAACAGATGGCGGCAACAGATGGCGACTCCACTGGGGAAGCTAGAGAGTTGATCCCATTTAGTGACGAATAAATTCAAACTAAGTAAAGATTTGAAATTACGCCTTTACCCTCCGTTGTATGTTTTATTGTATGGCTTTAATAACTGTTGTATGAATATTTTCTGCAAATTGTCTGAAATATAAACTGCACACAAAAACCCTTGCACACTACAATCCCTTTATACCCGGGGGCAAGAGTGAATACCTATAGGTAGTGGGTGGCAGATACGACCGGCTTGTTGGCACACGGGGCTACAACTGTTATCGGAAAACCACCAACTCAAGGTGATAACTCTCTTCTTTTGGTCCAAGGATGTCGACACGGAGTTCCGTGCATGACCCGAGGACTGATAGATTGAGAGGTCCCTATAATGGGGGCACCTTGGGGACCTTTGGCCTTGGTGAGAACAGTTTAGAACTACCTAAACCAAGCACGTTTTTGCAGGAAAACCCCACCTCAAAATTAACGTGACTCTGCTCGTGGATGAATGAATTGTGTGTGCATTCGTTTGCTGCATTTGTATTGATGCATTAGCATAGGGTAATCATACAACAAATAAAAATAGTAAAAGTCCTAAAAAACCATAAAAGTGATAAGAATAAACCAACTTTATCTCGGACAGTCTTCAGTTAAGCTAGCCTGGTTTCAGGTTCTTTGTAAGCTAAGTAGCCACGTTGACCGACAGAAGAGATAAAGGGTTATAAAAAACATAAAAACGATTAAAAGCCATAAAAATACCCCTTTTATAATAAAAAGATTCTTGACAAAAGTCGTATCATTCATACCACATCATCCAATAAGTGGTAAAACTAAGAGAGAAAATAAATGCACTAAGAAAAATATGCATAAACATTATCATAATAAAATCTCTCATATATAAACACATTCATTCTAGGATGTATTAGATATCCTTAGACAATAGCGAAAGAGACCCAAGTGCATTTATAACCTTCCTAGAAGAGATAAGTGCACTAAGGTGTGTTGGCAACCTTTGAAAAAAGGAAATTATCACACTAAGGTGGGTATGGTACCCTTAAAACATAGGCTTTTGAGAAGATACCAAAGCTATTGTCTAAGGCATATCTATTTCACACTAATCATTTGAAATAAAAGCTATAATAAAAATCGTTAAAATCATTTACAAAGTGGCTGGTCTTCCGCCCGTCCTCACCCGTGCTCAGAAAGCTAAAAAGATGGAACAATTAGAAGAACAAAACCGAAAGCTCACCACTGAGCTTAGTACGCTAAAAGAGCAGATGGCTCAAATGATGGAAATGATGCGTCAGTAGAATCTCCACAAAGAGGGTCCTCAGAGTGGACAAGCCTCTCACCAAGAAGAAGAAGAGGAACCTAACGGTGAGCATGACCAATTTGATACAAGGGCAGTACATATTCATGTGCTGGAAATATCAAAACAACAGATTACTGCCCTAGAGGAAAGGTTGAGAGCCATGGAAGGGCATAACTTTGATGTTAAAGAGGCGGCTGATATGTGCCTCGTTAAAAACATCCAATTCCCCAATAAATTTAAAACTCCGGATTTCCCAAAGTACATGGGAATAACTTGCCCCAAAAGCCATCTTACAATGTACTGCCGTAAGATGGCTGCATATGCTGACAATGAAAAACTCCTGATCCATTGCTTTCAGGAGAGCTTAGCTGAATCAGCCTTAAACTGGTATATGCAACTAGAGGGAGGGCAAGTCCAAACATGGAGACATCTGGCGGATGCTTTTCTTCATCATTATAAATATAATATTGATCTGACCCCAGAAAGAGCAGATTTACAACTACTAAGCAAGAAAGATGACGAATCCTTTAAGGCATATACCCAAAGATGGAGGGAATTGGCAGCACAAGTAGAACCTCCTCTGTCCGATAAAGAAACCACATCCATGTTCATCAATTCTCTAATTAGTCCCTATTATGACAAAATGATAGGGAACACATCAACACTCTTTGCGGATGTGGTAATTATAGGAGAAAGAGTAGAGCAAGGTCTGAAAAGTGGAAGAATTGCACAACATACTTCCTCCAATTCCTCTACTC